TCTGCTTACCCTTCCGGAGCACCTGAGATATTCCCGAATTTTGTGGGGTTCATGTTGCTCAGACATAAGTTTTCTATCTTGTGTTTTGCATTCTTTAGTTTGTTTTTTGGTCGTTTATTAACTATAATTGGTCTCTTATTATTTGTTTTCAATAATGCGAATCATAGGTTGCCTTTGATGGCCATGTTTCAATCTGAAGAGAATCAAGTGAGGAATAACTTTATAATAAGCTAACTTGATTAAGAGAAAAGAATGGAAATAGGATTTGATATAGCACTTTTCAACTAGAACTGTGTGCCACCAGTCCCGCTATGTGTGCAAAAATTTGGAATTTGCTTTTTCTCTGCAAAAATATGCAGGATTGGGGAGTCGGAAGAAAAATTTATCGACAAAAAAATATAATACTCTATCCGGATAGGGCGTCCTTGTATTATCGTGCCAAATAAAGTACGAAGTTGGACTAACTGGAAGTGTTTAACGACCTTGACTGGATGTACATCCTTCGCACGGTCGGCGTGGTGCCCGAAGGCGTTTGGTGAGCATTAAAATATTTTCTGCAGTGGGTCAGGAACAGGTGGAAGACGCCATTTTGATAGGTCGCCATCTTGGTTTTGCTGAGTTGTTTTTTGGTTTGTTTACTATTTTGTTGTTTCTTTACAGTCGAAACTCCACAACGGCTGTTTTCAGGGCCAGGTTGATCAGCTGGGCAGCCCACTAACCACGACGATGTGTTGTTGGTAGATGAATCATTGACTCTGTAGTAGATGACTGCAACCTGCACGAAGCTAAATACACATAACCCGCGGACGTCTGGGCAGCATGTGACACTCACCCATCCACAATGGATTTCAGAGTGTCGCTAACGCGGGTCTACTTGTAAGGTAACATCATAAGCTAGTTTGTCGTTGAACCATCTGGGCAGCGTAACATGTTGTAGCCAACGGGTAATCAGGAGCTGATCCAGCACGTCCTTTCAGCTGTAAGGACTGAGACGTGACTCCGAATGGATTGATGAATGATTGGATGATTGACGAAGTTGGAGAACATTAAGGGTCCAAAATTCCGAAAGGTTTTGCCAAATACAGATAAGGTAATCTATTCCGAACCCGGATAATTCAGTCTCTCTAATCGACTTACCCACTCGTTTATGTAGCCATCGTGGAACAGTGGAACCTATAACGACTTAATTATTCCGGTTAATCTATTCCTGGAGTAGATATATTGCTCAAGAGAAGATAACTTCTGATACACATGGTTTTCTTTTCATCGATCCACTAAAAACATGATGCCTAAAGTTCAGAGGAGTAGATTTTAAAAATTAGTTGATAAAAATCATGAGAATCGTTTGTAGAGATTTTCCTTATATCATACCTCAAGGTTGGGCGGTAAATACCGCCCCTGGTATTTACCGGTATTTACCGCCCCGGACAATACTCCTCAAGTGGTCAATACTGGCAAATACTGGTCGATTGAAATTTTCATGGTGGTTTTTACTATTTATTGAAGTAAAAAAATTATAAAATGTAAGATATATTCAAACTTTTATCTTTTGGCATGTTTCAGCTGATATAAATGAATTAATTTGATATGTTTTATTCATTTTTAACACTTATGCCTACTAATTTAGTCCTTATAAGTTATGATATTGCATATTTTAGATATACATATATAAAGAATTGACAAATTAATTATTACAACATTTTTCAATCAAGATAATTTTTATTGAAAATGCATAATTTTTACAGGTACATAAAACTACAGGTAAATGAAGTTACAGGTGTGTTATTACCTATCACCTGGCATTGCTAGGTGTGAAAATTTAATTACTTTAAAAACAACAGCCCCCAATAAATGATGACAAAACATGGTTGAAAGTAATAAAAGTGATATTTGAAGACTCACTTGAACAATAAACTATTTCCTGTCTATTAAATGTGAGACAAAAATCATCCTTATGCAGGAAATGGAAGGTATGAAGGACCTTTACTCTTATGGCTGGACTGAAATTTATGTTTTAAACCAAAAAATATATAATGTAGTATAAATTTTACCTTTACATAATCAATATTTACATGATTTACATACACATAGTACAACCATCTTGACCTTAAGCACCAAACTGAAACCTGAAGACCCTATTTGGAACTTCTATACAATATAAGACAACACCAAAACTAGTGCAAAATGTAATGATTGCAATGCTATTGTCAGTGCAAAAGCCACCTGATGAGTTTCCTTGCCAGGGACAAAACATTTTTATCTTATGTACTAATAAATCATTGTAAATAACTGTTTATTAAGAATTTACAATAAAAATAGAAATGAGAACATTTGAAATGACTTTAACACTTTCATTATTTCATTACTATAAGTAATTGACCAATATAGGGTGGTTTTTATTGTAATGTCCACTCAAAATTTCAATCGACCAGTATTTGCCAGTATTTCCCGGTATTTACCGCCGGCATGGTCAATACTAGTATTGACCGCTTTTTTTGCCAACCTTGCCATACCTAGAATATTTTTTTAATAAACTAATTAGTTTCAGGGGAGACTATTAAAATGAGATTTTTCCATAACTTTTCAATTGGAACAGTGCCTCACAATGCCGCTATGTGCGCCAACCAATCAACATTCAATGAAAACCTTTTGCAGACGGTCTTCAAATCATCCACCCATGATTACAAAATAATTGTCATTTGTAAAGTATTCCACACATCACTCCGTCAATGCATTATTTGAATTGGTCCAACATTTTAACATTTTAGAAAGGAAGAGAAGAATGTAATTTAAATAATGGGGTTTCATAGTGAAGTAACTGTATATGTGCCATTAATGCGAACATACTGGTCATCTTATCAGTAGTAGTTATCCCATGAGGAAGCGGTGTGTTAGTGGGCCATCGGGGTGATCCTACACTGACACACCAAGTCCGAATGGGATAACTATTTTACATCCCAGCTGTTCTAGATTGGATAAAAAACCATTTACGCTTCAAAAAACGCCAAACAATCATTATAATATACTTTATATATTACTATATAGTATATACCCTTTATGAGCCCCGGATACAATGTTTGAATATGTTAAATTAACAGAGAGTTCCTATCCAGTCGTGCTGGTGTAGGTGTATGAATCGTGGGTCTATATGCTAAAGGTCTTGAGTTCGATTCCCAGACTAGACACTGAATTTTTTCTACATAAATTTTGATAGATAGTCTTTTCCGTATAAATATTTTTAAGTTTTATTGTGGATTTGACATTCCCGCCGAAATGTTACAGAACAAAGGAAAGCATGCAGAACAAAGAAACTCAAGCTGGGGTGTTCTGGTAGGGGTGATCTGAGCTTAGCACATACTTACAACTTCTCGTCCAATCAAATTGCTTGAATTTGCCTTCAAATTTTCATAGTACATACTTTTTCCGTTTACTAATTTACAACGCATGAATGACCACAAGGGTAAGATTTCATTGTATCGTAATCAAGATATTAAAACAAAAATTGCCACTGGCTATTTTGAAATAAAAATTTAGAATATAGCAAAGTCCTCTCGACCAAAGAAATTGTAGGATTTGGTGTTTCTTAATTGTGAAGAATGAATGAAATCATGTTCTAAGTAAGGGACTATCCTATTGTTTATGCCTACTTACAGTTTAAAACAAATAGTTTCTATAAATGAGTTACAAATGCCCCGAAGCACATTTATCAGCTTGAAAGAATTTGTGATTAAAAATGACTAATAGTTGAATTTTGAAAAAAAAAAGAAAAAAATCAAAATTAGATGAAGTTTACTGGTGCAGTAAAATTGGTTACTGGATCTGCGGTTGGTGAGTATAGTAATTTCCAATATTCTGATAAAATTCTGAAAAAAGGAATTTAAGTAGTGATTACAGTAGTAACTACTTAGAACACTCGGCCACCGAGGCCCCATAAAATATTGAATTGCATAAAATATTGAATTGCATGGTATGATTGTTCATCATAACATCACACCATTAAAAATAAACTACATGTTTACGTACAGTAGTCTCTACCAGTTTGTATCTTTTTTTCTCTCCGTTTTACAGCCACATAATCCTCGAGATTAATGTAAACATGTGTTATTCAAACACACCTACTCAATAGAAAGGAATTTCGTTTGACCCATATATTTCATTGCCAACAGTGCCGCTATGTGTGCCAATCAATCAACATTAAATGAAAATCTTTTCGGCAGAAGGTCTTCCAATCATCCACCCATTATTTCAAAAAAATTGTTATTTGTAAAGAACCTTCCATATATACATTAATGAAGTATTGAATTGATGGGATGGTTGGTCATCACAGCATATAACATCCCAAACTACTATATTTATAATCTTGCATTGCAACGCAATTTAAATTATCGTCGTGCGCATAAATTGTGCATCTTTCAACTTCCGGAGTCCGCCATAACAGATTCTACCTCTATATTTTAGCTACATTGTACGGTAGTCCCTACCAGATTATTTCATGTTTTCTTTGTTTTACAGCACGTGCATCTCGAGATAAATGTAGCCCGATATGCGTCTTTATTTATTTTTTTCTTTGACAAGGAATGTTTCATCAAATTCAAAGAAGCGTTTGTTGTTTGTATTTTAAGAGGTTAGAAGGTAGATACCAATCAGTTTCGAAAGTATAAGACTAGAAATTGAAGCTACAAAATAAGAGTTTAACCGCAATTACATTGATGTCCCTGTCTATGAAATTACGTTTATTTGTGTTTTTGAATTATTATTTTCTGTAGTAGCTAAGCAGATGAGCATTGGTGTCTTAATTCTTTCTGCTAATTGTCTTTTTTGGGGAATTATTTGTTTTTTCCGAAAACGTAAATTTCTTGCTGAATACGTGATCAAATCAACTTTCTACATGATCGAGATAAAGAACAGTTACACTAGTTTCTTCTTCGGGTATGTGGGAATTTTATTGATAGTTTGACAAAAACTGAGAATTGTAGAATTCAAAATAAAATAAAGGCATAAAGAATGCAAATATTTATTCAATTATAAGTTTATTTCAAAATTTAACAATATTATATTGTAAGGTTGTTGTCCATTCGGTCGTTTTGAGTGCAGATTAACCGGGTTTTTAACGTTGGTTTCTACTTCCTCTTGACGAAATTTTTGAATTTTCTAATTTTCAACATGGAACGAAGATGTTTAAGTGAAAGGTCTTTTTCGGATTTCTCTTCTTCTTCTTTTTCTTCTTCTTCGAAATGACTTCCGAATTTTCCACATTCTTCGTCGCAATCGCTAGACTCATCTTCATATCTTTTTTCACAATATAGCATACATAATTCTTTGGCGCACTCCGATGGTGCAACTCCTTCCATGTCAAGGCATCCTACCTGATATACAGCTTCACCTGCTTCTAGTGTTTCATCCACCAGCCTTTCAATTTCCTTGCAAGTGGCAACGTCTACACCATCATGTTCACATATTTTTTTACCTTCTCCTTTCACGCAGCACTCTATGTCTCTTAAAGGTTTGTCCAGGCACATGTCCAACATTCTGGCGCCCTCTTTTGCACCATCTTCGCCGAATTTTTCCTTTGCCATTCCCACGCCCATTCTTCTCAAGAGCCCCTTTTCTTTGTCACCAAGAGTATCAGCAGTACGTTTAAAACTGTACCCATTCACACTCAAAATACAAGCAACCATTGCTAGTGATAAAACTATTAACTTCATCTTTCTGAAAATAAAAAATAATAAAATTCAAAATACAAACAATATGTTTAAAATATTTCTTAAATCGACCATACCTACAACCAATCGATGAAGATTCTTAATACTAAAATACCGAACTCCAAAGTAAATTCAAATAGGGGAAATTCAGAAAAACTGACAACACCAAACGTTACCAAGCAAAAGAGCTAGTGAAAAATAACTGTCATATTCTTGATTTGGTACAGGAATTTTCAGAAGAAAAATATTGGTTAAACCTGGTTTTATAGCTAACTTAACCTCACACACTATAGAGTCCTACTTGTTGTCGGACAGTCCACTGGACTAGCATTCAATTAGTTCGAAAAGTCCTTATCTCGTCAACACAATGACATTCTTATAAAAATAAAATATTTTCAATTGCTCCCGTTCTGGTATCTTACGCACCAAGTCTTCAGGGGCGACATATCAGAACGAGAGCGAAACCCTGGCCCCCTCTAAATCCGCCTCTGTGTAGTGAGTACACTATTTAACAAGTCTGTTTTCTTCGACCTCAATACCGCTATTAATTTTGGTTAATTAGTTAAAAAATCAAATTTAGTTTATAGTTAGTTTATTGCAGTAATAAAACCAGGATGGATTGAAACAGAACTATTTTGAAAGCAGAGAAAACTGTGCACCTTACAATCAGCATGACTTTATGATTTAATCTTAATGACTATTTCACATTTGCGACCAACTGATCATTTTTCATTTTCAAGACGAAACGCGCGTCTGGCGTATCAATATATAAGCCTGGCATCTTAGCGGATTTTTTTCAACCGCTGGGTTTAACGTGTATTCCGCGGAATAACGTTTAAGCAAGATTCATAACTTGGAACATGATCTTTAACTTGACCTCAATTTCCTCAATGCTATTGGACCAATGACCACTTATAAAAAAAACTCGTTACAGCAGAATGCATTGAGTGTGTAGGTAAAGGTTATATCTTTGGTTAGCTTGCTTGCTAGCTGAACCGTGGAATCATTATTAGGTTATGTAAACTACATTTCTTTGAGAGTAGACTAGTCCGACATATAACCAATCTATCTGTCTGTAGGACTAGACTACTCCGAAAGGAGGGTAGTGTACATAACCTAATAATGACTTCACGGTTCAGCTATCAAGCAAGCTAACCAAAGATATTAACTTTACCTACACACTCAATGCATTCTGCTGTAAGCTTTTACGATTTTCGCTATGTGAGTTACTTAGTCATATCACTTATGTTAAATGTAAGAAGGAACATAACTGCCTTTTGATGTCGTCAATGGATCGCGTTGTTCAAAAATGATCGAACGATGCCGAGGGTGTAACGACCAATTTAGAGGGGGGAAAAATCGATGCATTTTACGATTACAAATGACTTACTATATAAAAAGTATAGAGTGTACATTGGGATAACGCCGGAAGAAAAAAAATAATCAGCACAAAATTGAAAGGTTCAAATGATTGAAAATGTATAGGTCCGTAAACCGAGTCCCTGAAAAAAAATGTTCGTTACCATGTATGTGTTGCTTTTTTTTTTATCCATAACGTAAAATATTGAAATTCGATATTTGTAAAAAATTACTACTGAAAACGTCTAGAATCCAATTTTTAGACATCAAAACTGTTCAGTGTCATATTAAAGATGTATTTCAAGTTTGTAGAAGAATTTGATTTAAATCGGAGAAAACAACCACGCAAATTCCACCAACTGTACTCTTCTTTATCCAACCAATTAACTGTTCTAGTTCTATACAAATTATGTTTTTGATATAGATAAGAAATTAGTACTACCAAAAATCATGGAAAAGTGCAAACATTTGGCATAAGATGAAGCGGCGTTTTGTAAAACTATGTTTTATGATTTTATATAATTCTTATTATAGTAAGTATCTTCTTTTGTCATCATAAAATGGTTGAATTAGACAAAGTCTTTCATATAACATATTCAAAAGGTGTAATCAAATTAAAATTATTAGTAGTTGCACTTTTCTGAATTATGGTTTTATTAAATTAAAGTTCTCCTATTGACCAAAGAAATAAAATTACATAAAATATATGTATAATCAATGATAAAAACTTGAATTTACCTTTACAATATCTTTGGTCTAGATGATGCAACGATGTCTGACAGTTAATTTGCGAAAACTGTCGGTGGATAGTGCTGCTCGTTATTTTATAATAAGAAGGCAGGCAATAATTTGCATAATTTGGTTCTGCATATTAGATTACTTAGCATCGCATAAGATATTTTCATGATTGACATTAGCCGTTGGTCATTAAGGAGGGTCTGGATGGTGTCTTTAACTTCTGTATTCTTTACAGGATTTTTCTTTACCTTTAAAAATGAATTACATGCCTAGTTTCTTCTGTTGCCTATTCTAACATCGGACTGGGACTTCTTTGAACTGACTTTGCTGTGCGTTTTGCTGTGTAATTGGTTATTTCAAATTGACCTGATGTATAGGGGAGGGTTGAGATCTCACAAAAAAACTTCAGCCCCGCTGCATTTTTGCGCCTGTCCCAATTCAGGAACTTTTAGCCTTTGTTGTAAGTCTTATGTTGTTTTTTTTTTCTTTTCATTATTTGGTTCATGTGTATGTTTCGGAGTTTACTGTGGCGTCCTTTTTTCTGATCTAGTATACATTATTGTTTAGGGGCCAGCTGAAGACCGACTCAGAGTGTGGGATTTTTTTTCGCTGTGTTAAAGACTCATTTTAGACCTTGGGCTGTTTTCTGCAATTTGGTCGGGTTGTTATCTCTTTGACACATTCCCCGTGTCCCTTCTCTATTCTTTTATTCTGTAAAATACTAATGAACCGATTTTACTAATACATTTTCCTGTATTTAGATGATTTCTTTGTTCTGTACATCGTTCATTTCTGTAATCAGTTTTATATCACATATTCTTTAATTTACCACAATTATTCTTTTTACTTTTGCCACCAATTATTCGCTATTCTTAATCTATTTTTTTGCTCAATTTTCTCTATTCACTATTTTTTAGGACATCGTTATCAATTCTGTTAAGTCCATACAGACCCTCATATAGGAATTTCATTGATAATGTAACTTGACTAATTTTAACCTATTCAAATGCCACAATTGAATATCAAATATTGTTTGTTCAAAACCTAATAGGGTTAAAAAAAAAAAAGAAGGCGGTGCCTCGATCTAGCTCGTAGAAATAAATCAAGATCTTCATTTCATCCCAAAACAACGTACAATTAATGATCCACATCAACACATTCTATAATTTTACTTCTATAGAATGTTTGTTTATTCATTTATTCAGTAATTGTTTTTCTACTTACAAGCTCATTTTTTTAACACAAAAGATAATCGGATAGAATCACTTGATAACAGAAATCAAGACAAAATATTTTTGCTCCGAAGAAAAAATTTCCAATAATTGTGAAATGCTATTAATGTAGATGCAAATTAAAGGTCATACCTTGTATAATTTATAAAAAAATTGATCAAGCATTGTTTCTCGTTATGTACTGGTCAATTAACTGTATTCTACAAAGACAATGGTAAAACATTTTTATCATTTCTTCTTTTATCAACCCCATAAAGTGTAAATGTCTTACTTCTACGCATATACAAACTTTCCGCTATTTTAATTTTTTTTAAGTCATTTGAATGAAGCGCCTACGATTCGCTGGAGGATGTTGAAAATATGTAGCGCTATATATGTTTTTAAGACCTATTGTGCGTTATAAATTTTTCAAGATCTATTGTGTGATATAAATTTTTTAAGACCGATTGTGCGCTGAATATTTGTTAAGACCTATTGTGTGCTGTATATTTGTTAAGACCTATTGTGTGCTGTATTTTTTTTAAGACCTATTGTGCGTCGTATATTTTTCAAGACCGATTGTTCGCTGAACATTTTTTAAGACTGATTGTGCGCTGTATATTTGTTGAGACCTATTGTGCGCTGTAAATTTGTTTAGGACTTATTGTGCGCTGTATATATTTCAAGACCTATTGAGTGCTGTATATTTTTCATGACCAATTGTGCGCTATATACTTATCAAGACCTATTGTGTGCTATGTATTTTTAAGACCAATTGTGCGTTTTATATATTTTTTAGAACCGATTGTGCGCTGGATATTTGTTGAGACCTATTTATGGGCTGTATATTTGTTAAGACCTGTTGTGCGCTATATATTTTTTCAAGACCTATTGTGCGCGCTGTATATGTTTTTCAAGACCGATTATGCGCTATATATTTGTTAAAAACTATGGTGTGCTAAATATTTTTTAAGAGCAATTGTGCGCTGTACATTTTTCAAGACCTATTGAGCGCTGTATATTTTTCAAGACCTATTGTCCGCTGTTATATTTTTTAAGACCTATTGTGCGCTGTATATTTTTCAAGGCCCATTGAGCGCTGTATATTGTTCAAGACCCATTGTGCGCTGTATATTTTTTCAAGACCAATTGTGCGCTGTATGTTTTTTCAAGACCGATTGTGCGTTGTATATTTTTCATGCCTATTGTGCGCTGTATATTTTAAAAGATCTATTGTGCGCTGTGGCACCGTTAAAGTCCACAATTCCTCTAAAGTTCACAACACCGCTAAAGTCCACAACAAATGTCCCCTTAAGTCCACAACAAATGTCCCCTTAAGTCCACAACGCCGCTAAAGTCCACAAACTTTCCGCTAAAGTCCACAACAAATTTCCCCTTAAGTCCACAACGCCGCTAAAGTCCACAAACTTTCCGCTAAAGTACACAAAATGACCTCCGCTAAAGTCCACAAGAAAACACCGTTAAAGTCCACAATAACAAGTTCCGTTAAAGTCCACAAAAAAACACCGTTAAAGTCCACACAACTTTTTTTATTATTAGAATATCAATTCGCTTTTTTTTTTTTTATCCCGGTAGTACAATACAAAGCATTGGCTTTTGTTCTTGGTAGTTATTTTTTATCAGTTTGATAAATGAAAAAAAGTACAGTATCTGTAGAAGATTTTGTTCCATTAATTTGATCTTTGTATTATGATGATCCGATCAATGAATCAAACAGGCCAATTTGGACATCATTTCTAAAAATCTATCTAATCATAGTCAAATTGGTTAGTTATTACATAATTAATGCATTCTTCAAGTACTGTTTTTTTTTCTTATTCTTTGTATATAATCACTTTTTTACGTCACTATAAATGTACAGAGCAAAAGTCTCCGGATATGTTATTAATAATGTTTTTTTTTTAAAACATGAGCACCGACAAGAAATTGGACATATAATTCGATTTTGCTAGTTTTAATTAAATTGTTACTAAAAATAAGCACATGGACATGGGGTCATAATAATGTATCCTGCACTCCCCTCCAGCTATTTTTTCAACTTTTATATAGTTTGCCGATATAAAAATAGCTGGATAATAAAACAGCAAAAATAAGTAAAAATATCAGTATAGATGACCAGGAATAGATAGGTAAACGTTATTTGTATAAATGGCTTGAAATCAGAACTTTGACAAAATATTGCCTCGTAAAAAAGGGGGAGGACAGGGTACATCATCATGACCCCATATACTTGTGTAAATAAGATGTGGTATGAGTGCCAATGAGACCACTCTCCATCCAATATTTTTGTATTGATAATTGCTATCGGATTAACGTATTTAAGAACCTACATAGTATACATAATTATTATAACAAGACTGGACACACTTAAATGTCTTCCCTGTTTTAGTGTTTATAATTGAAGCTATTTGAAAGTGAACATAATGTGGCAAGAAAAGTTTTTAGAATATTTAGGAACTTTACTACAAAATGTAAATGGAAAGGAATATGCATGAACAAAACATGTAAATGTAAAAAATCTAGTGTTCCTTGTGGGCGAGAGTGCCAAAAAAGAAAATAAATAATTCATTTCAATTGATTGAATGTTCGCTTATTCTCTTTATTCATGTAATTGTAACAATATTAGTTTAAGATTTTAACAAATGCCTGTATTTAGGAATTGAATGCTTCTTTTTGTAAATTCATTGGGGTGTTAAAGCGTTGACCGAAGTACATTTTGTATGACGCGCGGAAGCGCTTCATTCTAAAAATGTGCGCAAATCTTTTATACTTGTACTCATCATGGGTAAGACATAATACAGAACCGCATCTGCGTATAATCTATTCAATTCATCTTCAATGCATTCTGAAACAAATACATTTTCCTTTTTGAAAACCAAACAAACATGAAAACTAATGAGTGATCGAAATCTGCTTAGCACCACAAAATGCATGTGTTGAATTCTTTTATTTATCATTATTTTGATTTCAAACAAGAACATTATGGTTTAAAGTCTATTTTTGGAATAAGGGACCGTTTTGGTTGCTGTGGAGCATAACAAAAACTGAATGGATTTCGTTCTTAAGTTTTATAGACATTTGCAAAGATATTTGCAAACGAAATTTCAATGTCAAATATAGGCTCCAAGATATGTCAGTGTGTATAAATGGTTACAAAATGTACCAAAGAAAATACAGAAAGAGCACCATAGCTAGATAACTTTTCAGAAATGTTGCCTGTTTGATTCATAGAAAATCACAATACAAAGATTTTTTATGGGGATCAAAATCAGAATCTTTTCATTTATAAAATTGAAGCGGATAAGAAATCCTTTCCAAGAACAGAAGTCCATGCTTTTTATTAGATCTATACCATCGGGATAAAAAAAAAAGCGAATTGATTTTTTAATAATAAAAAAAAAGTTGTGTGGACTTTAACGGTGTTTTTTGTGGACTTTAGCGGAACTTGTTATTGTGGACTTTAACGGTATTTTTTGTGGACTTTAGCGGAGGTCATTTTGTGGACTTTAGCGGAAAGTTTGTGGACTTTAACGGCGTTGTGGACTTAAGGGGAAATTTGTTGTGGACTTTAACGGTGTTGTGGACTTTAGAGGAATTGTGGACTTTAACGGTGCCACAGTGCGCTGTATATTTTTAAGACCTATTGTGCACTGTATATTTTTAAGACATATTGGTTCTTGTTTCCAAATACTTATTGTTCCCCCATAACAATCTTCTAACATTTGTTTTGCAAAATTTTTGCGCAGAATAATGGTCTACATTTACATAGAGTAATGGTCTACATTTACATAGAATAATGGTCTACATGTACATAGAGTAATG